TTTTTGAATTCTTTCAAACATTTCGTAAGAGTTATCAAGAATATCATCCTTTTAACGCTGTCAATTTGATTATTTTCATTAGCATTTTAGTAGCATTCCAAATTTTCCAGTACTTAGGCAAAATGTCTAAAAACTGAGTATAGGCAGGCTGACCACTAGTCATCGCTGGTTAAAGCAACTCGATAACTGTCAACTGCATAGTTGGAGGACTAGCCCATGAATTATCTCAACTTTCCCGGATTTTCTCTCGTTGTGAACGTAAAGTTGCGTCCTGGCGGCTCTGTATTTGCAGTCATTTCCAGTACTGTGGCTGGATACAGTTTCTTGTGCAGCGACACAACGAGTCCAAGCTGGATTTCTTTCATTTCACATCACTTGTTCTAGGGCTAGATTCTTTTATGCTTTTGCTTGCAAGTTACATCGGGCTTTTTTAGCATTTACTGGTACCTTTTATGCCTTGAGGTTACGCTTAGGTGGGGAAGGGGGGGGGGGCGTTCCTTCAGCATGCGGGCCTTCACCTGAAATGCATATGACTTGTTTTATATGGCTTTTCCGAAAATTCCGGTGCCCATTTTCTCCGACTTATACCGGTACAGTTGGTTGGCTGTCTGAAGGATTTTCGATGGATTGGTTTTTAAGCTGACGGAAACGAACCCGACATATGTTTGAGCGTAATATTGTTTGTCCGTACGTTAAGCCTGCCAGAGGAAGAGTCGCAGAACAAAGGGAGAAAGGGGACTAAAATTAGTTTAGAGATAGTAGCTATTGCTGAGAAGTGCATAAATACTTGTAAAAGTGCTGAATTTGGCGCTGAAGCACGTAATAAAAATGACTTTCAAACGGAACACCATAGTAGAAAAGATGTGTTATTCGGAGGAAATGGTGTGTCATTTTGGACAAAAGACGTCAGACTTTCTGTATCTCTGTTTTTATTGGGTGCGCAAAGTTTCAGCTTTCTACGTTGCCTGGTTTGCGAAATCGCTTCCCACCAACATATTTCTTTAGGGGTCCCGTACGTGAGGTCTAGGCGCGTATGGAGAAAGATCTTAAAATGGGAGGATGACACACAAGGTAGGAACAGTGGTATCTCCGAGAAAGTTAAAGAACAGTTGAACGACTCCCAATGAGATAGCGCACATACATCGAACAGACGATGGATATCAGCTAGCAGTATATAAGCCAGGGTCTGGCATAGCTGCGTGAGCATCCTAGTAACATCACTAACAAAGGATCCCTACACTGATAGTCCAAGCAGTTTTGGTATTCGGTTGCACTGGGAAGTTGTGAGAATTGCTCGACAGTGCACCGGTTTATTTTTTGAGGTGTTCGATGTGACGAAAGGATTTGCATTTTACGAACCAGAAGGGCCGTACCATAAATTGGCTGGGCACGATGCGACACGTGCATTGGGAACGATGGATGTTGGTGACGTGAAAGATACGCCGGATGATGTGAGTGATATGACTGAGACCGAAAAAGATACAGTGAAAGAATGGGTGCAGTCTTTTTCATGTAAGCATTTTTCTGCTATCCATCAGCATCTAGTGCATCTACTTCATTATGCATACTGGGCAGTTTTTACGCGTTTTCTTGGGCATATCTCGTCGTGAGCTCGTCATCCTTGTGTTCTTATTAAAGTTTTGCTCTTTCCCGTCACTGGGCTGAGTTGAAAAAAATTTAAAAATTTGTATTTATGAACACCATGCAAAGCAGTTGCTAGGTATAAATTTCATCTCGAAATTCTCTTTCTGTCTCTCTCTTTCTCTCTCTCTGCTGAGTCATTTGGGTTCTATGGTCCATCCGCATTCTTGATGCACTGGTTGTGTTTATGACCTTGAAATTGCCAGATTGCAGGCCATTTCACTACAGTTTATTGTGGAAGGCAGATTTTTTTTTGTTTAAAGCACGCTGAAATTGTTCCTACCACCAGGGCAGTTTTTAAAGGAATAATTCATCATATACACATCTTTTTGATGGCTGCTTCTGTAAGAGTCCACGCTTCAGGCCAGTTCACCGAGTCAAAACTTTTTCCTTTTTCAATGAACTCTTCGAGGGGCGAATGAACTCAGCGGAAGTGCTTAGATGGCAGCGCGTGCCAGCAACAACCACC